TGATTCAATATTTTTATACATTACAAAAATGATCATCAAAATAAGTCTAGTTACCATCTGTCACCATACAAAGTTGTAGTATTATTACTGTATTTTCTATGCTATACATTACATCCACAAGACATTTATTTTATAGCTGGAATTTTGTACCTCTTAAGCTCCTTCATCTGTTTCACCCATTCCCCACCCCACCTCTGCCCCCAGCAACAACCAGTTTGTTCTCTGTATCTATGAATCTGTTTCTGTTTCATTATGTTTGTTTTTAAGAGTTCACATATAAGTGAAATCATAGGGTATCTGTCTTTCTCTGATTTACTTCATTTAGCATAATATCCTCAAGTCCATCTATATTATCACACATGGCAAGGTTTCACTCTTTTCTTATGGCTGAGTAATATTACATTGTGGGTGTGTGTGTCCCCATGCACATGTGTGTGTGTGCGTGTGCACTCCCTCCCCTCTCCCAACAAGCCAGGGGCCCCAGCCAGTTGTGTATGTCAGAGAAAGAAGACACTGGAAGGAGTAAGGTGCCTACATCAATAATGTATAACTTGAGTACAGAGCCAGGGAGAGAGACGTACACTCGTGTGTGTGTGTGTGTGTGTGTGTAACTGGAAGTGGGCTCAGGTAAGCTGTTCTTATATTCTTGTATAGGTTTGTTCTTATCTGTGCCTGTGCATCTTCTATGTACCAGGCTCTATTCTGGGTATCGAATCTTATTGCTAGGGATGTAGCAATGAACAAGACGGACTAGGACATTGTTATCGTGGAGTTTATATTCCAGTGAAAGACACAGATAATACACAAGTGAATAAAATACATAAGCTAATTTCAAATCAAAGAAAATAAAACAGAATAATGTGATAGTTTCTGGAGGGTGCACATAGGTAGATACATAAGTGTGTGGTGCATATACTTGCAGATGGGCCCATGTTCGAGTCCTATATCCATATATTAATGCTATTTGTTTGTATGTGTGCAAATGAGCAGTTCCTGTATCTGCAATGTTTTCTATATTAGTATACATGTTTCTACGTATGCTGTGGTACACAGGTCAGTATACACATGGGGACACGTATGCATGGGTGTGAGGTGTACGTCAGCATTTAGCTGTAACTAGAGATGTCCCCGTGTGCCACTTGTCAGTGAGCCAATTAAGGAAGTGACTTTTTTTGCATCCGGCATTCAGGGCCATTTGCCAGCTTCCTCCCTCCCAGCTCCTTCCCACTTTAGACAGCTCTCTGTGCTTTTCTCCTCTCAGCCCTAGGAAGGCGAAGCCAATGAGAGGATAGTGACTTAACTCATTGAGCCAGGAGCTGGAAAGAAGCTGATAATCTTCTGTGAAATCGCCAAAGACCTGGCTTCCCTGCTAGTCCCTGTCCTTCACACTATGAGGAGAAACAGTCCTGACTTGAAGTCAGAAGACCAGAGGATCTATTCGTGGCTCTGCCGCTTATTATTGTGACCTTGATCAAGCTCCTACCTCTCTCTGGGTTTTAGTTACCTCCTTCGTAAGTTCTCTGGGTGGTAAGGAAGGAGAGGAAGCACAGTGACCCTTATGGAGGGCTACGTGGTGCTGCCCAAAGGAGGTGGGAAGGCATTCTGAGCAGGGGCATTGGCATAATTAAGATTGTGGAAGTGGCACTTTGTGTATAAGCAAAGCCAGGAAGAATCTCCTTTGAATAAAATTCAAATTTCTTACCATGCCTACAAAGCCCTATGTGATCTGGCTGCTGCCTACTTCTGATTCTTACTCTCCTTCTTGTTCACTCTACTCCAGCCATATTAGCTTCCTTTCTGTTCTTTGAATAGGCCAAGCTCTTTACTACCTCATTGTTTTTCCAAATTTTGATGTTCTCTTTGCCCAGGATATTCTTCTCAAGAACTCATACATTTGCCTACTCTCATTGCTCAGGTCTTAGCTCAAATGTCACCTCTCCAGAGAGAGGCCTTCCCTGACCATCCTACTTAAAGAACGTATCCTCTAGTATTTACCAATATTTAAAATGTCCATATCTTTGACCCAACAGTTTCACTTCTAGTAATTCATCCTACAGATATATTTTCAAGTTAGTAAATGACATATTAATAAAGATACTCATTGAAATTTTTATTTTTTAAATAAATTATGGCACACACAAATAAGTGGAAGAACATTATGTATATGACAAAGAAAATGAAATAGCACTTTAAGTCTTGATGGAAAATAGTATCAAGATATATTGTTAAATTTAAAAATTAACTAAGATGATCAAGCTCTATATTTAAGATTTGTGCAGTTTATTGAGTGCATATTATATTCAATACAAAACAAGATACAGAAAAATGTATATTGTATGCCACCATTTGTATAGAAAAAAAAAAAGAGAGCATGTAAACATAGAAGCATGTATATATGTTTGTCTAATAGGCCTGTCCTGTGCTTAAAGCAGTTCTTTCCCACCTCCCCATTCTATGCTTGTTTGGGGACTGTGAAGTATTTATTTCTCTTCTGAACAGAATTAAAATTCAGTTTTCAAGTTCGTTTAAAAATTTACATGTCTTTTTAAGTTCAGTTCAGTTCAGTTGCTCAGTTATGTCTGACTCTTTGTGACCCCATGGACTGTAGCATGCCAGGCTTCCCTGTCCATCACCAACTCCCGGAGTATGCTCAAACTCATGTCCATTGAGTCGGTGATGCCATCCAACCTTCTCATCCTCTGTTGTCCCCTTCTCCTCCTGCCTCTGATCTTTCCCAGCATCAGGGTTTTTTCTAATGAGTCAGTTTTTCACATCAGGTGGCCAAAGTATTGGAGTTTCAGCTTCAGCCTCAGTCCTTCCAATGAACATTCAGGACTGATTTCCTTCAGGATTGACTGGTTTGGCCTCCTTGCAGTTCAAGGGACTCTCGAGAGTCTTCTCCAACACCACAGTTCAAAAGCATCAATTCTTTAGTGGTCAGCTTTCTTAATGGTCCAACTCTCACATCCATACATAACTACTGGAAAAACAATATCTTTGACTAGATAGACCTTTGTCGGCAAAGTAATGTCTCTACTTTTTAATATGCTGTCTAGATGGGTCATAGCTTTTCTTCCAAGGAGCAAGCGTCTTTTAATTTCATGCCTGCAGTCACCATTTGCAGTGATTTTGGAGCCCCAAAAGATAAAATCTGTCACTGTTTCCATTGTTTCCCCATCAGTTTCCATGAAGTGATGGGACCGGATGCCATGATCTTAGTTTTCTGAATGTTGAGTTTTAAGCCAGCTTTTTCACTCTGCTGTTTCACTTTCATCAAGTGGCTCTTTAATTCTTCTTCGCTTTCTGCCCTAAGGGTGGTGTCATCTGTGTATCTGGGGTTATTGATATTTCTCCTGGCAGTATTGATTCCAGCTTGTGTTTCATCCAGTCTAGCATTTCTCATGATGTATTCTGCATATAAGTTAAATAAGCAGGATGACAATATAACAGCCTTGACGTACTCCTTTCCCTATTTGGAAACCAGTCCATTGTTCCATGTCCAGTTCTAACTGTTGCTTCTTGACCTGCATACAGATTTTTCAGGAGGCAGGTAAGTTGGTCTGGTATTCCCATCTGTTTAAGAATTTTTTGCAGTTTGTTGTGATCTATACAGTTAAAGGCTTTGGCATAGTCAATAAAGCAGAAGTAGCTTCCCTCATAGCTCAGTAGGTAAAGAATCCACCTGCAATGCAAGAGACCCAGATTCAATTCCTGGGTCGGGAAGATCCCCTAGAAAAGGAAATGTCAACCCACTCCAGTATTCTGGCCTGGAGGATCCCATGGACAGAGAAGCCTGGCTGGCTATAGTCCCTGGGGTCACAAGAGTTGGACACGACTTAGTGACTAAACCACACAACCACAGATGTTTTTCTGGAGTTCTCTTGCTTTTTCTATGATCCAATAGATGTTCCAATTTGATCTCTGGTTCCTTTGCCTTTTGTAAATCCAGCTTGAACATCTGGAAGTTCTTGGTCCATGTACTGTTGAAGCCTAGCTTGGAGAATTTTGAGCATTACTTTGCTAGTGTGTGAACTGAGTGCAATTGTGCAGTAGAAGTACTTATTTAAAAATCATAAAATTGAAAAATAATACTGAAAGGAATATTCTTATTGTTAAATCTTTGTATACAGTCTGAAAGTTCCTTAAGATGTCTTTTTAAAAATTTCTCAGTCATTCTTATGTCATTCTTTATATCTTTCATAATGCTTATCATAATCAGAAATTATCTGTTATATTTTTACTTGTATATTTCCTGTACTATCATTGGAATATAAGCTTCATGTTGTCAGGGATCTTGCTTATCTTATTCTCAGTGCCTTATTTCTATTCATATATATAGCACATAGTAGTTGAATAAGCAAATGAATCGATGAAGAAATGACTGAAGGAAACCAGGCTGAAACCTAGAAAGGAGAAGGAGGCAAGGCTGAGGAGGTAGACAGCAAGAAGTTGATAGAGGGTGGTGATTCTCAACTTTAAAGGTGCATCAGATTTACCTATTGATTTTTTATACCAACTTGTAGTAAAGAAGCAGATTCTTGGACCTTTTGATTGTGATTCTGAGTTTGAGCTCAGGAATCTACATTTTAACAAGTTTCCTAGGTGACTTGGGTGCTGGTAATCTAGAGATCCCACTTTGAATAACACCAATGCAATGTTGACATCACTTTCAGGAAGAATCACATTCGTGATACCATTTCTCCTTAATACATGCCTCGAATGGAAGAGAGAAGACCATGATCCCATTTTATCAAATGAGGTTCAGAGATGGCAGTGCATTTTCCAGTGACACATAGCTTGTGTATAAAGTATATCTTGTGAGGCCAGTGTTTCTGACCAGTCAGTTCAAGGTGTGGTGGCAGATGGCTCACCCTCACAGAATATTCCCAGGTCTTGGTGTTACTGAATGGATTTTATGACTGTTCCTATTTTTGTTTGTTTGTTTGTTTGGGGGAAGAAGTCATACTCCCTAATGACTGGCTCTTTCTGATACATCTCAGGGAGGGCAATGAGCCAGAGGAAACCACCCAGATCACATACCAAGAGCTTCTGGTCCAAGTGTGTCGGTTCAGCAATGTTCTCCGAAAACAGGGTGAGTGTGGGGATGTAGGGAGAGGACTGGAGAGCCCAGCCGGGGGGTATCTGAGGACTTGGGGGAAATTGACAAGGAACAGAAGGAATCTGCTAACAGAGGAACAGAAAGGGTCACCTGAGGGGGAGGTGGGCGGGTGGCTGATAACTAGATGAGAAAGAGCATGTAGCAGCAGGTGGGATCCACCATGGTCCATGATCTGTGTCCTTTACCTGCAGGCATTTGCAAGGGTGACCGAGTGGCCATCTACATGCCCATGATCCCGGAGCTCGTGGTGGCTATGCTGGCATGTGCCCGCCTTGGGGCTCTCCACTCGATTGTGGTAGGAACTGGGGCTGGAGAAAGGGGCCTGGAGGGGGTTAGGGCTCAGGAGAAGTAGGTTGAGCCTGGATGATGGAGGACCTTAAAAATCAGACTAAGGCACTTAGAATGTTTGTGTCATAGGTTCCTTATTCCTTTTCTTGTTCACTCGATCTCTGGGTTGCCCTCTTTCTCAGTCTTTCTTCCCTTTTCTAGTTTGCGGGGTTCTCTTCAGAGTCTCTTTGTGAACGGATCTTGGATTCCAATTGCAGCCTTCTCATCACTACAGGTGACTAATTCTCTCACCCCTCCCCCCAAATCCCCACATTCAAAGTCTTGGTCTTCAACTAGCTAGTTGGTATTTGAGACTGCTTAGCATAAAGGGTAGGGGCAGCCTACTCTTTATCTCCCGGTTCCACCTCAGCCTACCCTCTGTTAGCTCAAATCACCTGGAAGATTCAGAGACAGGAGGCCTACCCAGGAAGGACTGAACATTGTACCTGCTAGGGATAGAGGGGTAGAAGTGTGGTGCCTTCCTAAGGCTTGGAATATCTGTTGCTCCCCAAAGATGCCTTCTACAGGGGGGAAAAGCTTGTGAACCTGAAGGAGCTGGCTGACGAGGCCCTGGAGAAGTGTCAGGAGAAGTAAGTGTGTTTGGTCTGCTGGCTACTGCCCTGAGTTGATTGGGCATTTCCCCAGTGCCAGGTCTCCTTTGTCCCTCCTACCCTAGATGGACATGGGTGGGTCTCGCCAATTTCTCTTTTGAGCCAACCAGCCCACCACTTCAGGCTTTTCTTTCCTCCAGGGCTTTCCCAGTGAAATGCTGCATTGTGGTCAAGCACCTGGGGCGGGCAGAGCTGGGCACAGGTGACTCTCCCAGCCAGTCTCCTCCAATTAAGAGGCCGTGCCCGGATGTGCAGGTGAGTCTGGTACCATTATGCCCTCCTCTGGGCTCCAAGTGGCTCCCTCTTGCTCCCCAGGAAGTTCCTGATGTCCGTCTTTGTTTCCTTATCATAATGCTGAGGATCTAGGAGCAGTCCTCAGAATGGCTTCCCTGGCAGGGCTGGCTGGAGCTAGGGGACTTTGACCTTGGATGTAGGTAGGGAGCTTTGGGAACTTAGCACAAGAGATTGTGAGGAAGACCCCTGTGCTGGTTGGAGTATTCTGATGGGCACAAGGGACCTTTCGGGATTGGGCTTGGGTTAGAAATGGGCTGACCTGGGTGACTATATGTAGTCATCTTAAATACTGGGCTTTGGTTTGGAGTGGGCTACTTGTGTGGTCCCATCATGGAAACAACAGGATCTGCCCCCAAAACGTGGCCCTTGATAGCTTTGGATACATGCTTCTGATGGAGAAGCCCAGTGGTGGCCTCCAGGTCTAAGGGGCATGAAGGATGAAAGCTCAAGTATCCAGAAGGACAGAGAGTTTCTGAAATTCTGTGACTTGAGAGGCTTTCAGTAGTCTTAGAGCTAGACAGACTTCAGTCTAGTCTAGGAACATTGGAGACCCCTGTCAGCATTCGGGGTTCTGAAGGTATAGAGGCTGTGAACAGGATCAGGAAAATGGAGGCTGGGAGGACCAGTGAGGGAGGAACCAGAGGGAAAGGAAACAGCCAGAGGTTTGGGGCACACTGGCCCTTCCCTCCCCTTCCCCTATCCTTGGACCCTGCTCACCACCCTTTCCATGGGCTCTTAACAGGGTAAGCCGAAAGAGAAACCCAAGCACATCCAGCCCCAGGTATCCACCTCTGCGTTGCCTTGGGCACTGCTTTCCTGCATGCTTGTTTGCTCTTTGCCTGTTCGCCCCATTGAAGTGACTGCCAGACCCAACCCCCTTCTCTCTGCCCGTAGGTAGTCTAAGTCACTCTGAAGGGTCATGAGACCAAATGCTTATTGCTCTGAATTGGCATAGAGCATGGATCTCAGAGAGGTAGCAACAGACATCCCATTTCACTCCTGCTTCTCAGGACCATTGTGGGAGAGAGGACCAAGCAACCTGTCAGAAAGTTTTTACTGTGCACTTAGCTGAGGCAGAACCAGGAGAGACAGGAGGAGGAACAGGCAGAGGAGATGCAGACCTTGACCTTGGGAATCACTATCAAGTTGGCAGTGAAGAAGTTTCCTAAATATATTTATAAGCTACTTTGGGATTTACAAATTACACATAAACTCTGATACAATTAAGTGCTAAATTGAACAAGTTATATTGTAGGTGATTCTAAGAAGAGAGATTCTTAAGTGGGGACTCAAAGCTGATTAGTATAGGGGAGAGACTGGGTTTGGAGTCCAGAGACCAATTTTTAGCTATATGACCTTAAATGAGTCACCCATTCTCTCTGGATGTCCCTTATCAGTAATGGAGACATGATAGTAAATGCTTTAAAGGAACCTCTTTCCTTACTAAAACAAAACATAAAAGCCACTATTCCTCTGAGTTTTACCATCCTCATAGGATGTCTTACTCTAAATCTGCTATGATCAACCTCTTAGGCTAATGGTAAATATAATATGCCTTTTCTCTATTCTCATTAGTGTGGTGGAGACAGATCTGAGTCCCAGGGGAAAATGTTTTCATTTGAAAACTCAGGCAAGAACCTAAGACTTTTCTCTTGAAAGAGGAAACAGACTTAGTGGTTAGAATATAGGCTCTGGAGTCAGACCACTTGGGCTCACATCTTGGCTCTGTTACCTGCTATATGGGAACTTGTGCAAGTTTCTTAAGCTCCTTTACTTCAGTTTCCCCACCTCTAAAATAAGGATAAAATTGTAGCTACCTGACAGGGTTTTGTCAGTATAGGTAAGGTGTTCAACACATAGTAACTGCTCCATAAATGTTAGCTTTTATTATTTCTAATACAGCAGACAGGCTGACATTTCTAAAAGGAGTTTAGAAAAGAAAGAAACTCTTATAATTCTTAATACCAGGGGTTGTTGGACCACAGGCTCCTGGAATTTTATTCCTTGGAGGTAAAAAGAGTCAGTTACCAAAAACCCAAAGACCATAAAAATTGGCTTACAAAACCCAGGTTGGTTGGCCTGAGAACTGTAGTCAAAACTGGAAATCTTGGCAGAGCTCCAAACCTCTCATTCTTAAGCAGTCTTCAAGGGAGGGCCTGTTACAGTTGGCAGGAACCTTCCTCAACCATATTACCTATAAGCTTCCTCATATTCCTCTCTCACACCTGGCAGCTGCCCTCCCTGCTTTCCTGGTCCAATAACAAAGGCCAGCTCCTTGATTCTTATTTCAGAAAATTAAAACCTTTTCCTGGTTCCAAGCCCTGGGCCCTCATAGGTATACACCTAATTCACAACCAACATGTGTGCCACTGATTGCTCTCACCCTGCTTCCTGGTGCTGGTTATCAGCTCCACACCTGGAGTACCCACCCCACCCTCCTTACCCACACCCACAAAGGAAGCAGTTTTACAAGATTACAAGAGTCCCCTCATTGCCACAATGTAACTATGCTTTGCCCTTACATGTACCTAGTGCCTTTTCTGTGACAATACACACCATCACCGTAGACCAGCTCCATTTGCTGAAAGCACTATTGACACACTTCTGCTTAAATACATTAATGCCCTCATCTCAAGTAGATCATCTGGTGGGCAAAAAATTATTCATGTGACAATGTATGTTTAAACCTGTATGGCTATTCCAATTAAAAAAAAAAGTGTGTATTTTTGTGTTTTCTAGCTTGTGGGGACCTTCTCTCTGTTCTTTTTCTTCTTAATGGTGTCTCTCTTGACCTGGATTTGTCATGCTCATGTGCTAGAAACTTCCATTTCTCCAGAGTAAGAGACAGATAGTTCAGAAAAAGGATAATGGTAATTTTATAATTTATCAAGGTATGTGCCTAACACTTTGGGGCTTTTAAATCAAATATGCACCCAATAAATTACTATATAACCATATAATGAGAGGAGTAGGGTGTTTCCTCTTATACTATCATGTCTACCTGCCAGCTGGGACTATAGAACAAGGAGGTAATGAATATGAAACAGTTTTGTGACAGTTAAACCAAACCCACAATAGTTTCCATCATCACACTCTTATTTCACCTCCCAGAGGAGTTCAGTGGAACTGAACTAACTTTTCACCTTCCTGACATTCATCAGTCTTCTCTACCCCTCCCCCAGACAATCCAAGGCTTGATGTTTACTAGCTAACAGTTTTCCTTTGATGTTTCCAAAATCCTGTGAGACTATCAGGGCAAGAATGACTATCCTCATTTTAAAAATGAGTACCTTGAGGTAGAGTGGCTTGCCCATGGTCATCTATATCTAGGAAGTGGCAGAACTGGGAATCGAAATCCAGTGCAACTTTGGAGGAACTCAGGGAATACAACTTCACTCAGCAAAGAGTAGACTTAAAACCAGTTTTTCAAACAGGTGGTATAATTCAGAAAGTAAAACTGTTTCAAGGAGAGTTTAGAAAAATTTCAGGATGACAGATCTGAAAGGCACTTCAGTATTAGAGGGACATCCTTCTACTGGGAAAAATCCACCTTGATCCTTTTCCACCAACTTAAAGCAAAGTTTCCTGCTGAATGGAACCTCAAGAAAGTGTCTTTATGAGAAACCCATTGGTACCACTGGTATAGGGGCAGGGGCAGAGCTGGAGTAGGAACCTTCAGATGTGGATGATGTCCGGACATGCAAAAAAAGATGCTTGGACCAACATCTGTTGACTTCTTTTGCTACTAACTATTGGGATCAGGTACCCACCTCACCTGCAGGCTCTGACTAATTCTGCATTTCTGAATTGTGTGGTATCTGCATCATGCTGATGAGCCACTAGTCCCATATGTGTGTAAGTACATATGTGTGTATATAGGCCTGTATATGCATATTCATTCATCCAACAAAATTTTACTGAGTGCCTGTTGAGTGCTAGGCATTTTACTAGGTGTTGGAGATTTAGGGGGGTGGGCAAGAAAGACATGCCACTGTACTCATAGAGGTAACTATCTGGGGAGACGATAATCAAGAAAACAGCTAAGTAAAATAACTGGAAATATGTGCTCTGTGGTAAAGAAATAAGGTGGTGTGATCAAGAATTATAGCAGGGGTGGGAATTCCTTGGCCATCCAGAGTTAAGACTATGCACTTTCACTGCTAAAGGCCCATGTTCAATTCCTGGTTGGGAAACTAATCTCACAAGCTGATTAAAAAAAAAAAAAGAATAGTAGCAGGGGTGAGGGTGGGTCTGGGAGCCTATCAGATGCTGTTTAGGTTAAGCCTTTCCCAGAAGGTGACATTCAAGCTAGGAATTGAAGAGCGAGAAGGGACCAACCGAGGGGGCCCACCTCAGCATGAGGCCAGGTGAGAGAAGTTCTGGAGCAGGGTGCTGGGAATACCCAAGAAGCCTCTTGTTCTATTTCTATTCTCCCTGCCCCATTTCACCCTCACTGGGCCCTTCCTCCCTCTCAGGACCTCCACCTGCCACTCCCACCCTGGCCCCTCCAGGTGCTAGGTAGGGATGAATTTTGCCCCCAACCTGAGCTGTTCACAGTTCCTCCTTGCCCATTCCTATTTTCTTCCCCCTGCAGATCTCCTGGAATGAGGGGGTTGACTTGTGGTGGCATGAACTCATGCAGAAGGCAGGGGATGAGTGTGAGCCTGAATGGTGTGATGCTGAAGACCCACTCTTCATCCTGTACACCAGTGGCTCCACAGGCAAACCCAAGGCAAGTGTGTGTGTGTGTGTGTGTGTGTGTGTGTGTGTGTGCACATACACTGTGTAAGGGTGAGAAGTGAGTTTCTGAGGAAGCATGTAATATTGTGAAATTTACAACTCTGAGTTTCAGAAATATCACATTACCTTTTCTAAATCAAACTGACATAAATCCTCAATCACTGATGGTGAAGCCCAGGGTGAGACAATTCAAGTGGGGAGCCTCAGAGTGCCCAGAAAAGGAGGAAAGGATAAGCTCATGTGGCTGACATCTGTGTTTCCTGCCCATACCCACGTGGTTTGGTTGAAGAAGAGCTGCCTGTAAAGTCAAGGCCAAGAGTGGGCACAGGGGTCCCTCTTGGCCTTCTTAACTACAGCTCTTAGAGTTCAATCCCTTCCACATGCCACACTGGCAACATCTAGTCCCCCCAGAGCAGTGTGGGAACTGGAAACACTTAGAACTCTGACTTAAAAGATATATCATTCTACCTTCCACTTGCCGCATCCATAAATTATTCTCTCCACATGCTTTGGAATATTCCTCAATGAACCTTTAGAGACACAACTTGGGCCTGTCTTTCCTTGGAGAAGGAAATGACAACCCACTCCAGTGTTCTTGCCTAGAAAATCCCATGGATGGAGGAGCCTGGTAGGGATGAGGTATTAATGGAGCAAGCAAAGAAGATTCTTTTTTCCCCACTCTCATTCTGTCAATGTATAATTGAGTGTGTGTGCACAAACACATAACAGAGACACTATTAGATGTGAGTGTACCAAAAGGGTTCATGTATGTGAAAGTAATGTGGGTGGTTCAGAAATACCATCTTAGGGTGTGGGTATGGATGATGGACTGACTATATAAGTATATGTGGTGTGTGAAATGGGAACATGGAGAAAGGAGGATGGAAGAGAGATGGATGCTGTAAAAGCAGTGCTGGCAGGGCCAGAATCCCTGGGGAGGCTTTTCCTCTACATTTGGTAGTCAGGGTGAGTCCAACTTGAGGCCCTATTCTTTCCACAGGGTGTGGTACACACAGTTGGGGGCTACATGCTCTATGTGGCTACTACCTTCAAGTATGTGTTTGACTTTCATGCGGAGGATGTGTTCTGGTGCACCGCAGACATTGGCTGGATCACTGGCCATTCCTATGTCACCTATGGGCCACTGGCCAATGGTGCCACCAGTGTTTTGGTAAGAAGGGTGCTGGGACCCATGGCTACCTGGTTTATTTAGGGGATGGACAAGATGATCCTGGTGATGACCTCCCAAAGCCACCTTGCTTAAAGGCAGAGGTACTTATACAATGACCTGTTTCCTTGAGAAAGAGTTCTCAGAGGGTTGTATATGCTGAGTGGGAAAATCTCTTGGCTTATCTGGTAAGGGTATGAAGACAGGGATTTGTCAGAAAAGGCAAAATACTGAACCCGAGGGTATGGTAGGGGAATGGAGGGACTATTGAGAAGGACTGAAAATGACCAGCCATTATTGGGGTCAGTTTGAGGGGATTCCCACATACCCAGATGTGAGCCGCCTATGGAATATCGTGGAGAAGTACAAGGTGACCAAGTTCTACACAGCACCTACAGCCATCCGTCTGCTCATGAAGTTTGGAGATGAGCCTGTTACCAAGTGAGACCCCTCTCTGGCTGCTGCCTCTTGAGTGTCCCTCAGAGCTGGTGCTGGCCTTTGCACAGTCCTTTCCATCCCATTATTCTAACACCCTGGCTTGGAATAGGGGCGGGGGCAGAAGAGCCTGTGCATGTCTTTCTGGTTCCTAGTGGTGCTCAGAGCCTCCCTTTCTCCCCACTCTCCTGCCCAAGGCACAGCCGGGCATCCTTACAGGTGCTAGGAACTGTGGGCGAACCTATCAACCCCGAGGCCTGGCTGTGGTACCACCGGGTGGTAGGTGCGCAGCGCTGCCCCATCGTGGATACCTTCTGGCAGACAGAGACAGTGAGTAACGAGTTCAGAAGGCTGGGGCTCAGGCAAAGTGTGGGAAGAGTGACTCAAATCCCTGATCTCTGACTTCCACAGGGTGGCCATATGCTGACCCCCCTCCCTGGTGCCATACCCATGAAGCCTGGTTCTGCTGTGAGTGAGGCTCCCTGGCTGGTCCTGGGCTAGGCAGGGGAGAGTCTTGGAGCATTCAGGCTAGGTAGAGGGTGGGGGGCTGGACTGATAGGTGTGGGGAATTTGGGGCTCTGGGGCTCCCTAGAGGTAGAGAGTTGAGTCGGAGTTGTCTCATTCCTCCCTGTGGGTCCTGTCTCCTCTTTGTTTCTAGACCTTCCCGTTCTTCGGGGTAGCTCCTGCAATCCTGAATGAGTCTGGGGAAGAGTTGGAAGGTGAAGCTGAAGGCTATCTGGTGAGATCCTGGCCCTTGTGGGTCTTTGATGAGGGGGAGGGGAGGATGGTCCACAAAAGGGCACAGTGTGCTTTCCTTTAGAGTTTAGAACCTAATCTTTCCTGGTAGCTGCTTTTGGCTAAAGCTCCATGGTTGAGGGTTTATTCTCTGCAGAGAGACCCTAGCGGGGCAATCCTTCTGGATATTTTGCCTGCCTCTAGGCCTCTGGGTTCACAAAGCTCTTAAGGGCTCTGCTCAAAGATACCTGATGTGCCTTTTGGGGTCTGGAAGACATAGTGGAAAATCATATAGGCTCGAGTCAACCTGCCTGGGTTCAAACCTGGCTCTGCCTCTTCTGTGACTTTAGATAAGTTACCTAACCCCTCTGAACATAAATGTTCTCATTTGTAAAAGAGTTACAATAGTACCTTTGTCTGGAGAAGGAAATGACAACTCACTGCAGTACTCTTGCCTGGGAAATCCCATAGACAGAAAAGCCTGGTGGGCTGTAGTCCCTGGGATAGCAAAAAAGAGTCAGACACGACTTAGCAACTAAATAGCAATTGCAGCAGTATCTTTGTCTCCTATGGTTGCTGGATTGATTAGATGATTCATGTGAAGGGTTTATTTAGCACAGAACCTAAGAGTTGGTGCTTGATAAATGTAAGCTGTTGTGATCATTTAGTAGTTGTAGGGAGATCATTAGCACCCTCACCCTGCAACCCACTTTGTTTTCACTAAGAGCAAGCTTCCCTGGTGGCTCAGATGGTGAAGAATCTGCCTGCAATGCAGGAGACTTGGGTTTGATCCCTGGGTGGGGAAGATCCTCTGGAGAAGGGAATGACTACCCAATTCAGTGTTCTTGCCTGGAGAATCCCTTGGACAGAGGAGCCTGTCAGACTACAGTTCTTGGGGTCCCAAAGAGTTGGACACGACTGAGTGACTAACACACTTTTAAAAGAGCAAGTTAGTGACATGGGCAAGACTTGAATCCAGGTCCTCTGACTCTTAGAATAGAGTTCTGTCCATCCCACCAATCTGCTGCCACAGGACATTACTGATTGGGGCAATAATTATTTACTTATGTGTGGGTCCGACATTTTTATGTAACCGCTTTCATTTGCATCAAATTGTACCTGCATCCCTGAGGGATTACCTAAAAGGAGACTCAAGGTACTTCCCTGTGGTCCAATGGCTAAGACTCCACATTCCCAATGCAGGGGGCTGGGTTCGACCCCCTGTTGGGGAGCTACATCCCACATGCCACAACTAAGACCCAGCGGAGCCAAATAAATAAAAATATATTTTTTTAAAGGAGACTCAAATTTATTAAATGCTTATTACTAACAGAGCATCTGCTAGGCAGTTTCCACATACTATTAATTTAACCCTCAAAATAACTTTGGGAGATAGAAATTATTTTCTCTGATTTACAGATAAGGATCCTGAAACCTGAGGCCACACAGTTAGTAAGTGGCAGAGTTAGGATTCCAAGCCTGGACTGTCTGTCTCCAAAGCCTATACTTTGTTCTACTTCTTGGGAATAGCATTCAGGCTATTTCTCCTAAGGTTTGGCAAAGACATAACTGTCTTCCTGTGAGACAGTGTAGCAGATGGTTACCACTTCCTCACCCTCCAGGTGTTCAAGCAGCCCTGGCCAGGGATCATGCGCACCGTCTATGGGAACCATGAACGCTTTGAGACCACCTACTTTAAGAAGTTCCCCGGGTACTACGTGACCGGAGATGGTGAGCCTTGGCTATCCCCTTCTCACACCTCCCACTAAGACATGTACCATCCCCTTTCATTTTCAAGAAGAGTTGGTTAGGGATGTATCTTATGTATCAATGTGTAATATCTAGTCAGAGATACAGAGAAGACCATAAGAACAGAATGAGTGTTGCAGGAAGGCTCTCAGCATGGTGCTGAGATTTGATATATGAGGGAAAATGTTCTTGCTGAAAGAGAGGCAGCACATGGCAGTATGTATTACCATGTCACGTGCGTCCCCATGTCTGGAGCCTATGTTTGCCCATATGTCCATCCACCAATCCGTTCTTCCATAAATATTTATTGAGCATGCACTACTTATCTAAGCACAGGAGATGTTACCATGAATAAGGTGGGCAAGGTCTCCACTCTCATGGGGTTTGCATTCTAGTGAGGAGACAGGCAGTAAATTCAGCAAATAAATACTGCAGGGACGGCCACCATACATCGGGTGGTGAGAAGTTTCTTTGAAGTGATATTTGACCAGAGACCTAAAGGAGAAGCCAGGTATGGGAATATCTGGAGTAAAAATGAACTGTACTAGAGAGACTTAAGCATGGAATGTCTGAGGAACAGACTGAAGCTTGTGTAGCTGGAATGTAGTGAGCAGCAGCAAGAACGCTGTATCAAGTTGGACAGGGAGATAAGACAGGGCCTTGTGAGCCATGGTGAGGAATTTGGATTTTGTTCAGTGTACGGTGGGAGACCGTTAGGCTTTTAAAGCAGAGAAGTGATTAGAATTTATATATTATTTAGAAAATAACTTTGCTTGTTTTATGGAGAATAGACTTTAGGTCAGTATGTTAGTTATCTGTTGCCATGGAACAAATTAACTGCAAACCTGGCAGCTAAAAACAACAACAAATATTATCTAGTAGTTTCTAAGGATCAGGATTCTGTGAGTGGCTTCGCTGGTGGTTCTCATTCAGAGTTTCTTGTGGGTTGCAGTCAACCTGTGGTTGGGGCTGTAGTCATCTAAAGGTCTGACTGAGCCTGGAGGACCCACTTCTTTTTTTTTTTTCCATTTATTTTTATTAGTTGGAGGCTAATTACTTTGGAGGACCCACTTCTAAGCTCACTTATGTGGCTGCTGGCAGGAACCTTCAGTTCCTTGCCACATGGACCTCTCCATAGGGCTACTCATGACATGGCAGCTGGCTGCTCCCAGAGCAAATAATAAGAGAGAATGCAACCAAGATAGAAGCCACAGTGTCTTCTATAATCTCATCTCAGAAATGACATTCTATCATTTCTGCCAAATGCGATTGCTCACTAGACAAACCCTAGTACAATGAGATAAAGGAATACACAGGGGTGTGAATACCAGGAGATGGAGGTTGGTGTGACCATCTTGGAGCCTGGCTAGCACAGCAGGAAGACTTGTTAGGAGGCTGTTGCCGTGGGTACAGCAGTTTGGTGATGTGGATCGCTGTGGTATCCTACTGTGGTGTATTTATTTTCTCCTCCCAGGCTGTCGGCGGGACGAGGATGGCTATTACTGGATCACCGGCAGGATCGATGACATGCTGAATGTATCTGGTGAGGGCCAGGGACCATCTTCCCATTTCATTAACCCTGCTCGCCCAGCAACTCCCAACCAAAGCCTTCTAAGAGAACCAGACCACACCTGGAGTGCAGTGTTCAGTTCTGGGCTGAAGAGTAATAAACACTGAAGAGTACCTGGAGGAGGGGAACCAGGATGGTGGGGCAACGATGTCCCTTGAGGAATGAATGAAAGGCCGTCCCCATTTGACCAGACCGGGACTGCCTTACTGGGACAGATGGAACAGGGGCTGGGATTTCTCTCACGGCAACTTCCTTTCCCTTGACAAGGACACCTGCTGAGCACGGCAGAGGTGGAGTCAGCACTTGTGGAACACAAGGCTGTTGCAGAGGCAGCCGTGGTTGGCCACCCTCATCCGGTGAAGGGCGAATGCCTCTACTGTTTTGTCACTTTGTGCGATGGCCACATCTTCAGCCCAGCTCTCACTGAAGAGCTCAAGAAGCAGAGTAAGGAGCTTTCCTGGGCAGGGATTGCCAGGTCTGTCCTGATGGCCCAGTCGCCACAGCAAGTTGTTGGGGAGGGCCTATAGTGAGCTAGTTTCTCAAACTACAAACATCCCAGGGGCTAACTGCCCTCTTCCCACTCAGTCTCCATCATGTTAATAATGATTGACATTTGTAGAATTTTTTCTCTGTGCCACTGAACTAAGCATTTTAAATGCATTAATACATTTAATCTCTAGTCACCTCCATGAGGCTTCCCAGGTGGCACAATGGTAAAGAATCTGCCTGTCAATGCAGGAGATGCAGAAGACATGGGTTTGATCCCTGGGTTGGGAAGACCCTCTGGAGTAGGAAATGGTAACCCACTCCAGTATTCTTGCCTGGAAAACTCCATGAACAGAGGAGCCTGGCGGGCTACAGTCCATGGGGTCACAAAGAGCCTGACACAACTGAACAACTGAGTGCACACACCTCCATGAAATAGATCCTATAAAGATGAAGAAATTGAGGCTCAGAGAATTTAGGAATAAATCACTTGTTCGAGGCCACACTGCAAGTAAAGTGAATTTCAACTCTAGCAGGCTGATTCTAGAGCTTGAGTTCCATGAAGGTGAATTAATATACAATGAGAGAGTAAAGAGACAATGTGTTAAACAGAGAGAAAGACAAAAAGTGAGCCTGAGCATGATTAGGTTGGGAACAAAGCCATCTCTGCCTTGGTTTTGGGCAGCCTGGCTAAAGGTACTGGAAAAATGCATAATGATTTGTTGGTTACAGTTAGAGAAAAGATTGGCCCCATTGCCACACCGGATTACATCCAGAATGCACCTGGATTGCCTAAAACTCGCTCAGGTATGTTCAGAGGCCTCTAGGGATTGGGATTGGATGGGCCAAGGCCCACTGGTGGCGAGTATGCGTGGATGGAAGCTTTTGGCAGGGCTAGAGTGGGTCAGTGTGTTGTCACCAGGTAACCAGAAGTGTGTGGACCCCCAGGGAAAATCATGAGGCGGGTGCTTCGGAAGATCGCTCAGAATGACCACGACCTGGGGGACACGTCCACTGTAGTCAACCCATCCATCATCACCCAGCTCTTCAGCCACCGCTGCTCTACCATCCAGTGAACAAGACCCTGCCTGGAACCCAGGATTACCCCCTGCTTGGCTTTCCAAAGTTTTGCCCCCTCCCTGCCCCCATCTGGGAGTGCTGAGGGCCACTGCTGACCCACAGCACTTCCCTTGTCCAGCTGTCTGGGACTGAGGACCATCTTTGCCTCTGGGTGGAGGCAACTCCCTGCGACCGCCAGGCAGATGCCAGAGGGTACAGGTCAGCCTCAGACTGTGCCCCTAGACTGCAAAGAACCCTTGGAGCCCTGAAGGGACCTGAAGGTCATGTCCCAAACCCAAGTTAAGTGTTCAGTGGGCAAATGAGGGCATGGGCTGAAACAGGGAAGCAACTCTAACCCTCTGTCATCTCTCTCAGGAAGCACCAGTACTTATCTTGGGCATGCACTTGTCCTGAGAAATGCCTGTTTGTGAGTCCTGAAAAAATAATTATTTTTTAAAACACTTTGTTGCTTCTCTTGTGGGTCTGAATTCCCTTTTGTACCAGATGGCAGTGCCTGTCTGCCATTTGTTCCAGGGGCTCTGCAGGCAGGCTGAGTTTCCAGAGAGTTTTCAGATCATTTGTGTCTTCGAAGGAGTACATGTGTTATGCTCCCAGGACCAGGGGAGCTCGCTTTTCTTAAATTATATCTCTGTTCCCAGCCTCCCCTGAACAGTCTTGCCCATGAGAGATGTTCTCAGATGAAGCTCTCTTTTCCTACCCCAGTTGTACTCAGGCCCTGTGGTTGTAGGAATAAAGTCTGTGACTTCATGAAGGTGGTAACTTGCTTTCTCAGTGTCTTACACGGTATATACTTACTGGCTGCTCTGTGTGGGGGATGGGAAGGGGAGTGATTTTCCTCAGGAATACCCCAATATTCCTTCCAGAATTTTGGGTCTAGGCAGTGCTAGGCAGGGCAATACTGGAGACCCAGGTTTGATCCCTGGGTCGGGAAGATCCCCTGGGGAAGGGAATGGCAACCCACTCCAGTATTCTTGCCTGGAGAATCCCATGGACAGAGGAGCCTGACAGTCCATGGGGTCGCAAAGAGTCAGACACGACTAAGCAACTAACATTTTCATTTTCACTAGGGCTTCCAGGCCCTTTGACAAGCTACTGAGCTAAGCAGGAAAGCAACTAAAGCCACATTATAACTGTAATGCTTGACCATGGTTGCTCTCCCTGCTAGAGACCATCTCTCTTCCCTGTGATCCTGTGGGAGCATTAGTGAGTGACTAAGGACTGAAATTTCAGGGTCCTATCCATGGGATCTGGAGCTAGGGAGACTGATTATAGCCGAGTTCCTTCCCCTGCTCCAATCTATCTGAAGTGGGCTGACTAGGATTATAGCTTCCTCCCCTCAATGTACAAACAAAGGAATCATAGAATCAGCAAAGTAGTTTTATTTAAGGCAGAGGTGGGAAAAGGCTGTGCCCCTACCCTTTTTCTCCCACCCCTCAGTCCTAGCCCAAGTCCAGAACCTGCTGGAAAGGCTGAGAAGGGGCTAACAGGAGAGTGGCAAGGTTATGGACCCTGACCTCAAATCAGCTTCCTTTCAGCTGTATCTACACCCTGAGGATTTAGGACCCTCTAGATCGCACCTAAGGGAAACACAGCTTTTCTGGTTCTCAGAAGGGAAAGTTGGGGGCAGGGGGTTGGGGGGAAAGATACCCAGCATTTGCCCTTCCATGAAGACCCTGGAAATCTCTAGAAGAGACCAGCCTTCCCAAGGTAAGGGGAGGGCAGCCCCTCAGGAGGGCAGGTGAAGCATAATCAGTACAAAGGATGGAAGGTCTTTTGAGTGAAGTCCGGGCAGGCCTGGCTGTGCTCTCACACAGGGTATGGGTTGTCCAGGACTGCCACTCCAGCTGCCACACCACCATCTGCATGCTCAATGGCTTTGGTTCGAAGCAGATGTCCCACGTGCTTGTTCATCACAAGTGTCTTTCCCTCCCTATAGAAATGGGAGCAGGAAACACACAACTCCATCACCTGGACTCAGCCCTCAAACCCAAGACCTTCCTTGGTTTCAGCTGAACAGTACATGGGTGACTGACTACACCTGAGAAAGTGCTAGGATTTCTGAATCAGATTTGGGATTGCATCCTAGCATGGATATTATTAGCTCTGTCTTTGAAGCAAGTTACTCAGCCTTTCTAAATATCAGTTTCCTCAATTTAAAACAGGGATAATACCTCTCACTTTGTAAGATGGTGACAAGGATTAAAGAAAACCATAAAAGCATTTAGCATGATGCCAGGCTCACATTTCATCTTCTGTAGCTCTATATTTCCTTCTCTACCTCTCTCTCAAGATGGCGGTAGGGGGTGGAGAGGAATTGGCAGGCAGAGATGCTGTAAGTTGGAGAAGGAAATGGCAACCCACTCCAGTACTCTTGCCTGGAAAATCCCATGGACGGAGGAGCATGGTAGGCTATAGTCCATGGGGTCGCAGAGAGTCGGACACAACTGAGTGACTTCACTTCACTGGATGCTGTAAGTGGAATGGTTGGAGGGGAAGATTATAGAGAGGGCAGGCCCTGGTGGGGAGCATGGTAGGATCTGGTATTCCTTCCTTGCTCTGATCTTGGAGTGAGTATTTTGCAGTAAGTGATAATGAGGGACCAGAAACTGTTCCTTACAAATTCCCCAGTTGTCTTCTTCCTGATTCTTTAGTGCTCAAGTCCAAGCCCAGGAGCCACTCAGCTTTTCAAAGCCACTGTTTATCCTCTAGCTGGCCCATCCCACCTTTCCCCAGCATCCCAGGTGCCCTGGGAATGGACCTAAACTTCTCTTCCCTGGGGTCTCCTAATCCAGGGTTATATTGTTAGCCATCTTGATATCACTTGGAATTTCCTTTATAGTTGCAAAGCACTTGTCATCTGGACTTCATTTGATAGCCTTGTGAGGTAGGCAGATCTTAGGTCCTTGGCCTCATTTACTACTAAGGAAACATGTTGCTTGGCTCACCTGACATAAACCCCGAAGATGCCCAGCTCTGAAATGCATTGGACCACTCGGGCAGGGCTGCCAGGTCGCAGTAGACAATTCTTAAAAGGCTCGGGTTCGATCTTCTCCATGAGGATGTAGGAGGCTCTCTCCTCACTGTCCTTCAGCCGCTCCAGGAATTGTACCATCTCCTCCCCGTATAGGTTGTTACCTGCAATTTCACTAACCAGTCATCCTGGACCCTCTGCCCACCTTCTCTGCCCTGTACCCACTTCTAGGGCCATGTGGGCAGGTCAAGAGCATCAGTTCCTGACACCAGCTCAGTGAACCCAGGGCAGACTTGTTCTCCAAGGAGAAAAATGTCACCTTAACATAAGAGCTCTTACAAAAGTGAACACACCTCCCACCATATCATCCTGCTCTGGTTCTCCTCTTACCTAACCATGGCTGTTCCTTCTCAGCCTCCCTGACTGGCTCCTGCCCCTCTTAAATGTGGGGGTTTCAAGGAATCATTCCTCTACCCTTGTTCTCTCCTCTGTGTACACACTCTTTTTCAGGGAGATCTCTTCCAAGGCTTCATCTATAGTCTATAACTTGTTAACTCCCAAATCTTTAGCTAAAGCTCCCTGCTCTAAACATCATAGATATCCCAGGGGCTACCAAATCCAACTCAGCATGTCTGAACAGAACTCATTACTCCTGCCTGGGTCTGCTCCTCCTGGGCCCTCTTACACTCAGTCAAGTGAAAGGATTCCCGAGTCACTGATCTCCTCCCTCTCCATTCACTAACTCGAACATGTCTCTTCAGTCTGTACTCCACAATGTCACAGGCTCTGGCCCAGCCTTCTGCATTGCTCTTCTGGACAACTAACCAGCCTCCTCTATGGTCTCTCCGCCACCAATGTCTCCCCGCATTCCAGGACGTGCTCTACCATGGCTGAAACACGGATCCATCATGTGTCCAACCCCTCCTTTAAACTTGCTAATGGCTTCTCACCATCCATAGGATAAAGCCCAATTTCCTACATATATTCAACATCCTTTATAATAAGGTCCCAAGCCATCTTTTCCAAACCAAATCATTCCCTCTCCAACCTCCCACACTGCACTCCAGCCTCAGCAGTTAACTTGTTAACCTCCAAACATACCACACTTCCATGGACCAGTGGAAGCTTAAGCCTGAGGTTGCTCCTTCTGTATGGAATGCTCTTCCCCCTTTTCTACCTGTGAAATGCCTATCCAACCCTTAAGGCCAAGATAAAAAAAAAAAAAAACCATCTCTGGATTCATGAGGCAGATATGACCCCTGCCCTCAAGGAGTTCAAACCAGGCAGGAAGGTATCCAACCTCCTGATATGCCCCCTCCTGTGCCCCCACGGGCACCTCAGACTACACTTTCCCACACCCTCCAGTGCTGGTTAATCACATCCCGTGGTGCTTGGGCGTTTCTGTAGTGTAGAGGTCATCACATTTGCCTCACACTCTCCTGTGCTCCACAGCACGTGATCACAGGGTCTCCCGGGACACTGTCCAAGGTGGGGAACCTGTGTCAGTTCCTCCCGTATCCCCTGGAGCCTGGAACTGTGGCCACAGCAAGTGCAGGTCAGCACTGGTGACCTCCTGCAACCCCCTTCACTGAGCAGCCCTGCGAAGGGGGCACCACCTACCTCCACCCTCTCTCTGAGGCTTTAGCACGAAGCTGCTAGGGGCAGCAATGGCCTTGGTGATAGCCTGGTCCCCTTCTTCACCCTGGTAGGAGGCAAGAGAGCAGTCAGTAGCAGTCTTAGGCCAAAGAGCACACAGCGAAGGTCCTGCTGGTTGTTCAGAGTGGCATCAGAGGAGCAGGAAGAGGAAGGGCCATAAAGCCCCTTAGGCTAGATGCTACTAGCTAGATGAGACAACCTCAGTGAACCCCTCTGTAGCAGGGAGTACCAGCTTTCTCTGGCAGCAGTTAAGGAGTAGCCCGAGGCCCAAAAGCAGGTACAGATACTCCTCAGTTCTTGCTGTCTACCTCAGCCCCCTTTCCTGGTTAGCATCCCCATTTCCACCTTTGCTGAGGGAGCTTACAATGGATTCCAGCCCCACTTCCCAGGGCTCCAGGGGACCTCAGAGCATCACTGACTCAAGTCCAGCCCAGTGCCAGCTCCAGCCTCCCCAACACATTAGGCTCTGGGTCCCCAATACTGAGGAGGCCTGAGCTGGGAGAAGTGGGCTGTCCACGCACCAGGTCTAGTGAGTAGAGGCCAGCAAAGGTGGCACGGAGGCGGGCCACAGCCTCAGGCTGCCCAGGGAGCAAGGACTCCAGGACGCCCACTCTGCTCAGCTCCTGCTGCACCTTCTTGGTCCCAGCCAGCTGGGTGGCAATGTCCGGGCACTTGACAGCACATGACCTCTCCAGGAGCAGGCGTGCTTCCCAGTTCTGTGGAGTGAAGACACCAAATGGAATTCTACTTTGACTTTGGCTGACCTTTAGTGAGCATCCATCAGGTGCCAGGTATCCTCACATGCATCACCTCCCAGGGCCTGTGTACCACACTTGTGAGGCAGGTGTGGCCTCCTCCTAACATGCAGGATTCTTGCCCTTGGGGAGCTCACAGCCTAGCATGATGACACGACTGTAACTAAAAGGGGAAATGACAAAAGGTGAAAGGGTGAACAGTGGATGAGGAGGTTTGAAAGGGGAGAAGACACTTGTTTATGAGCTCAGCTTCCTATTGTACTACAAATAAAATACAAACTGCTGTTCTTCTCCTGTAAGGGGATCCTGTAAGGACCTACTTCTTGTCTCCTTTTCAACTTCATTCCAGGCTGTCCTTTCACCCCACTCCCACTTTCCAGCCACATAGGTCTGTCAGTTTTCAGACACAAACGTCATGTCCACCTCAGGACCTGCATTTGCTGCATTTCCCTCTGCCTGGGATTCTTGTCATTTTGGCTTTTCTAATGGATGGTTGAATCCTTTTCATCCTTAAGTCTTGGCTCAAAGTCACCTTCCCAAACCACCATATTTAATGTGCTTTCTCCATAATTCTCTATTGTTTCACCCTGTTGTTTCCTCCAGCTATGAAAAAAAAAACTTTTTCTACTTTTGTTTACTTTCTGATGACCATCCCTCTGAGCACACTGTGAGCTCCATAAGAACTGGACTCTTGTCTGTCTCTCATTTCCTATTGTATCCCCAGTGTTTAGCATAATGCCTGAAGCTTTGCAGGTGCTCAGTAAATATATTGTTGTTTAATGAAGGGAAATCTGAGAAAACAGGGAGAGTGACAAGTGAGACTCAACAGGGACGAGGTACTCAGGTTAACCAAGTAATGTGAGCAAAGGTCTGCAGGTGAATAATCCCAGGACGAACAGTCTGGTGGGCCAGGAGTACAGGGTGTGAGTCAGGGAAACGGCAGAGGGCCATGCCCCACTCCCCCGCTCTAGCCCCTCTTCTAGGGCACCAGAGGGACAGTCTGTCCTTGACTCCAGACCACAAAAAACTGCCCACAGCAGGACCAGGGCGAAAGCCAAAGGAGCAACACCACCACTCTCACCCCCACACATGATGTCCTTCCTCTGATGTTCACCTACCTGCAGCACCTCTGTCTGGTCTTCATCAATAACCGCAGACACCTAACAACTAAGCTAGTGTTCTGGATGGAGCTAAAAGTATCCTGAAAGTACCCCATTGTGGAAAGGAGAGAAAGCAAAACTCAGAGATGAGCAGGGAGCTTGCTCACTGTCTCCTAGCAAGTCACTAAGCCTAGTGGATTTGTCTCCGTGTCTAAACCTGGCCTGAGTTTCTCAGTTCCTAAAAATGTTCTCCTTGTGCATTAATTTCCTTCCTGTTAAATCTAAATAAAGTTTTCTTTGGCCCTTTCCCTCAAGCCCCTTGTCCTAGAACCTGGATCCATTTTTCCCAATAGACAGTTTCTCTCTTCTCTAGTCAGCAAGTTCTAACCACTTTCTAGAGGAAAGGACCTTCTATAGAGCTGCCACCTCTGTGGAGCTGCTCCCTGTACAGGATGGGCCTTAGAGAGGATCTTACACTCAAAGAATTATAGATCTGGAAGGACCTCCCTCAGTTTTCTAGCATAGTCCCCTCAGTTTACAGAAACTGAGCCCAGTAAGATGCAGGATCCTGCCCACGGTCACCCAAAGGTGGAGTCAAACCCTCAGGATCCCCAGACTGCTGCTCATGGTATTTTGTAACTTATTTTCTCCTTTACCTTCTCCCAACTGAAAGCAGGGCTTCCTATTAGCTTCTCCATGCTGTGGATCAGGGGCAGGAGGAAGAGAATGATATGCTAGGAATGACACTGGACTGAGAAGCAGAAAGCCTGGGAGCTCTCTGTGGGACCTTAGATGAGCCCCGGCATCTCTCAAACCTTAGTTTCTCCAGGTATATAATGGGGATAATTATACACCTCATACGGCATAAGGACTAAATGAAACAGTAGATGTGGAATGCAATCTACATTTGAAACTACATGGTAAGATAGCAAGCTAAGGTGATATCATTAGTGTCGTTAGTATGAATGGACAACAGATAAAAACTTTTGGATGCAGATAAAAGAGAAGAAAGAGCTGGCAAGAAGGAACTGGTCACTGGTGCAGTGGAACTGGTTTGTAGTGAGAGCTGATTGTGCCTATCTCTTCCCAATTCTGTTCAGAGATGTTAAGTTGGGTAGCTTTGAAATTGGTCATGATGGAAGTAGTTATAATAGAAATCAGCAAATGCTATAAATAAGGGCGTGCCTCCCCAGAGAGATTATGGTTACATATTTACCAGCATAACCCTAGAAACTAAGGTGAATGGCTGAAGCATTGTGGATTCCTGAGGCTTTAGATTCTAGCAGACCTTGTGTGTGTTTAGGGAGTGAGAGGTAGCAAAAAGCTTGTGGGAAGATAGGAAGTTCCCTCAGAAAGAAATGAAGCCAGGGCTCAGGGGAAAACCCAGGTTGTTATGATATGTGTGTTGAATCTCTGAGGAACAATGGTGGGTCCCAGGAGGCAAAGAGTGGTCTAATGGAAAGCACCAACCTGTAGACTGTAATGACTTGGCATGTAGCCATCCCGGAAGTAAACCACAGCAATCTCCTGGCCGTCCCTAGAAGACAGGATGGAAAAAGCTGCTGTGTTAAACTAAAACTGATGTGTTCAGTGGTTCAGTCTATTTCAGGGTGCATCAAAACACCTTTGACTTCTTTGAAAGTCAGCCCATGGGGGTAGCCTGAACAGGGATTCATTTCAAGCATGTAGTAAACACCTACACCATCAGTGCTTCCACTAAAAACTGGAAGGGGAAATGCTCGCCAATATTTCCAGATCTAGAGTCATTCTAGGAAGGCCGCAGGGAAAAAAAAAGAAGGTGACCAGAATCAAATTAGGTAAACTTTGAAAAAGTGGGCTCAAAATTCCAGAGCAGCAGAATCATAGTACTAGCAAAACACACTTGTATTTACACTGCTTAAAGTAGCTGAAAGCAGGCTGAGGTTTTTTTAAATGGTAGCGGGGTGAAGGTGGGCAGATGCCAAATATGAATCTAGTTAAGCTACAGACTGTATTTTGGAACTTCTTCCCCTTTTCTTTATTTGATATTATTTGATATATCTGGAAAGTAAATTAATGACTTTGTTTTGTTAAGATAAAAGCACATTTTGAAAATAGTTAAGTGTGAATTCCCTGGCAGCCCTGTGGCTAGGACTCAGTGTTCTCACTGTCAAGGGCCGGGGGTTTGATCCCTGGTCAGGGAACTAAAATCACTCCAGCAGCATGGCATGCCCCCCCCCAAAAAAAAGAAGAAAAAAGAAAAGAAAATAGTGGCATTGTGAAATGCCAGGAGGTTCTTAAGAATCACAAATTTCCAGGTCTAAATATGTGATATTAATACAAAAGTCACCTGGTGGACTTCTCTTGTGGTCTAAGAATCTGCCTGCCAATGCAGGGAACAGGGCTTCAATCCCTGGTCTGGGAAGATCTTACACACACACCATGGAGCCCACGCTCCACCATAAGAGAAGCCACTGCAGTGAGAAGCCTGAGCACAGCAATGAATGGTAGCCCCCACTTGCTGCAACTAGAGAAAGCCTATGAGCAGCAAAAGACCCAGCTCAGCTAATAATAAAATAAATGTCAATCTTTAAAAAATTAAAAATATAAGGTCAAGTCACCTGGTGGTGGCCCATAAAGCGAAGCATGGGGCCTGGCTTGGAGCACAAATCCAGGCCCCGTGAAGTCTTGCCTGAGACCTCAGGAAAGCAACTCCCAGAACCAATCAAAGAATGAGCTGGCTACTCCTCTTCCTTCTTGACTACCCAACCCAATTGCCCAAGTCTGACTTGACCAGCCAAGAAGGGCAAGAAAACTTTGAGAAGCCCAGAGGCATATGGAAACCAAAGCTATCCAGAATGTCAATAGCTCTGATACAACCCTCTAGAAACAGAACTTGGCTTCTCCAAAACTGCCTGGGAAGGTGGGATGTTTTCAGTGTTCACCCTAAAATTCAGAGAGAAGGAAGCAAGCCATCACATCTCCCAGAGAAAGGGTCACTTAGGAGAAGAGGGTGGCAGGATGAGTTTCCCAAATCAGCCCTCTACTGGATCCTTGGGAATGCTCCTTGGACACTTACATAAATAGTCTTCGGTCTTGGTCTAGAGACCCCTTCTCAGAGACATCTTCGAACCTTCGTCGGATTACATGGATATTCCTGAGAAAGATGGGCAAGGGTCAGAGAGAGTGGCTGCTCTGTTCTGACTGGCTCTCCCGGGGACACACAGGCAGGTCTCCCCTCCTTTACTTACCTGGCCAGTAGCTCATTCTCTATGGCACGCTGGTCAAATATGTTCCTTTCCTTCTCTTGAGCAATCAGTAGCACCTGAGCACTGGGGAAAGAACACACGCGGCCCCAGGTGACCCCATCCCACCCCCTTCAGCACTGAGAATGAGAACACAGCTTCCCTGAAAGAGTAGACATTCTTTCATCTCAGGACTGCCTCAGGCACAGATACCTGAGGCTATAACACATTATTTCCTGAAAGTAGAAAACGTGAAAAAATGGAGATTTCTGCCAGTAGGCAGATGTAATAATGTCAGTTTTCTGTGCAAACTAAAATTTAGATTTAAAACCATCTCAAAAACCCAAGAGGACTTTTTCTTAGAATTTAACATAATGATTCTAAAATCTTCTGGAAGAGTAAAGAGGTGAGAGTTGTTGTTGTTTAGTAGCTAAGTCATGTCTGACTCTTTTGTGACCCCATGGGTTATAGCTCACCAGGCTCCTTTGTCCATGGAACTTCAGAAGAGTATTTTGTAAAAGAATAATGGAGATTGGGGCTTAATGACCCTATTATTAGATTGTGAAACATATAATAAAACAAGACCCTATTACTAGATTGTGAAACATATAATAAAACAAAGTGTGGTTCTTGAATAAAACACTAGAATAGTTCAGCAGAATCCTATAGAAACTCTAAAGAGCAAATTATGAATAAGGCCTTATTTCCTGGGGCCTCCCAACATTTCTGTGTGGCATATGGGGCCATGTTTGGTCCCACAGTATTAACAGGATCATTGGGGCTTACCTGGCCTCTTCCTTTCTGCTTATCCACATGTTTCTTGAAAGAGCAAGAGCTCAAGGACTCAGGGAAATGCACTGCCAAAGAACTGTCTGTCTGATTACCAATCAAGCTATTTTCAGTTGTCAAAGACACGTCCAGTCCCCAGCCAGACTCTCTTAGGGCCAAGGCTCAGCAGTACCAAACTCCATTTTTGCTGTAGCTATACTGCACTGTGCCCAAGGCTTCTTGCTAAGACTCTTGAAGAGTGGGCAGACTTGGCTTAGGATTCTAAGTGTGGATTTCTGACCTACTGTACTTGGCCTCTTGTCTGTCTGTCTCTGTTTCTCTCTCCCTCAGCTAAACCTCTAGGGCTACACTTTGACTAACTCTTCTCCACTTGGCTAAAATACAGGTCCTGCTATGACCCCTCTCCTAGTCAGCCTGAAATCTCTTCACATCAGACCTGATATTAAGCTGAATCTTGGCTTTGAGCTGTGTGTCTGAGAGACAAGCTAGGTGCTTTCAGAAGCCATCTTGCCTGGAGAGAGTCCTGAGAGCCAATGACTTTGCTCTTAACTTTGTAGCCTGATCTTCTCTGCTCATGGGTGGGAATGTGGCACTTGGCCCAGGCTGGCCCACCTCCAAGGAGAGGCGGAGGAGGAAAGCTGTAGGTTAAAGTGGAAATGCATGCTCTGGTTAACGAAGTCAGCCTGCCCCCTGCCAAATAATTGGACTCAGACTCAGAAAACACTCTACTTCCTGCCTTTAGTTCTGACAGTCTGCTGGGAGCAGGACTGGGAGAGTGTTCAGCTAAGGAAGGTGAAGTGGCAGGAGCTTGTTGACTAGGAGTGGGCACCCTGAATCCCAGTCCTGCCAGGGACCTATGGTACACCCTTGGGTAAGTCAGTTTCTTTCCTTGGACCCTGATTTCCCCATTTGTAGGTAAGAGAGATAACTAGGTCATAGTTGCCAATCTTTACATTAAGAATCATCTCTTCTTATCCCTACTCATTCTAACCACAGACACTGTATTTTGAAAGTGTTTGAATAAATGTATAAATTGAAATCACAATTCATTTTTCAGGCTTAATTTTTTAAAATTCTTTTTAAAAAGTATGAGATAACTGACAAAAACTCATCTGCTCTACAAATGCTTGCACCTCAGTTTTTCAGTCTATCCTATGGGACCATTCCTCTTAGAAGAACACTGTAACAGAGAGATCACAGGCTTTCAGTTCAGTTCAGTTCAGTCACTCAGTTGTGTCCAACTCTTTGCGACCCCATGAACTGCAGCACGCCAGGCCTCCCTGTCCATCACCAACTCCCAGAGTCCACCCAAACCCATGTCCATTGTGTCGGTGATGCCATCCAACCATCTCATCCTGTCGTCCCCTTCACCTCCTGCCCCCAGTCTTTCCCAGCATCAGGGTCTTTTCCAATGAGTCAGCTCTCCACATCAGGTGACCAAAGTATTGGAGTTTCAGCTTCAACATCACTCCCTCCAATGAACACCCAGGACTGATCTCCTTTAGGATGGACTGGTTGGATCTCCTTGCAGTCCAAGGGACTCTCAAGAGTCTTCTCCAACACTACAGTTCAAAAGCATCAATTCTTTGGTGCTCAGCTTTCTTTGTAGTCCAACTCTCACATCCATATATGACCACTGGAAAAACCATAGCCTTGACTAGACAGACGTTTGTTGGCAAAGTAATGTCTCTGCTTTTTAAAATGCTGTCTAGGTTGGCCATAACTTTCCTTCCAAGGAGCACATGTCTTTTAATTTCATGGCTGCAATCACCATCTGCAGTGATTTTGGAGTCCAGAAAAATAAAGTCAGCCACTGTTTCCCCATCTATTTGCCATGAAGTGATGGGACCAGATGCCATGATCTTAGTTTTCTGAATGTTGAGCTTTAAGCCAACTTTTTCACTCTCCTCTTTTACTTTCATCAAGAGACTCTTTAGTTCTTCTTTGCTTTCCGCCATAAGGGTGGTGTCATCTACATATCTGAGGTCACTGAGGCTTTAGAGGCAGATAAATATGAATTCTAAACTTCCTAGCTAGGTGACTCTGGGTAAGTCACTGCAGCCTCTTGGGGCCCTCAGTTTGCTCTGCTGTATAATAAAACTAGAACTCTTTAAATGGTAGTTATTATTACTACTGTTATTATTGAAAATACTACATAATGACTCTCAATGAGTGTTTTTAAAGCATTTTTCAAATCTACGTTTTCATTTAATTCTCAGTACCATCCTTTTAGGTGTTATTATTATTACCTCCACTTTACAAGTGAGGAAACCAATGTTCAAGGAAAAGAACAGACTTTAGCAAAGGTCATATTTGGATCAGCAGAAGTACCTATTTGACTCTCAAAATGAAGAAATCCACTCTTGGCTCAGGGATCCCACACCTCCTAATTACCAGTGCCTAATTCTGAGCACACAAGTCTTTTCTCTCCATATTATTCACAGCGTGGCTAAAGAAATCCTCCACAGCATTCGTTTATCAGCTGTTTCCACGCTGACCCATCTCCTGGCTTCACTCTTAAAATATAATCTAGCCAAGAGTTCCACTTGACAAAACATTTGTCTGATGACTTCCAAATGCTCAGAATCTGAGGCTTCTTGAGTCTCAGTGATGCTTAACAAGCCCAGGGAGGCTCTCCAGGCAATAAGGTGATGAAGAATCCAGGTTCTAGAGTGAGATGGACTCAGGGCTCTACCACCAACTTCACCACTTGACCTTGAACAATTCACTTCACATCTCTAAACCTCAGTTTCCTCATCTTTAAAGTGGGGGAGATGAACAGTATCTACCTCAGAGTGTTTGAAATGAGGATTCACTGAGATCCTATCTGTATATGAAGTGCTTAGCACAGAGTGTGGCACCAGTGGCTGCTCATTAAGGGTTAACTGATAATGCTATGTTAACATTGCAGTAATTGTCAGTGCAGTGCCTGTACATTCATCCAGAAGTCACTTACCTAGCGTCTTTACACATCTGGAACACAGGTGAGAAATAAGAAGGAAGCAAAAAATGCCTCTGAACAGTTAAAACAGATACTATAAAATCCCTAGATCAAAGTTTATGCATTTACTCATTAAAGAGGCCCTCAAACATAACAGATCAATTTCTTTCCCAAACTATAACAAATCAAAAAGGAGGTATAGGAATGGGAGTGGAGGATTCTAAAATTCAAGCCCAATGACAACAGTAAGAAGCAAGAGCTGTTAGTGGGGAGACAGACAGAAAAACCATGAAGAGAATGAATAAGAGCTTAAAGCCTAACAGCTGGGTTATTAGTGCAGGCAAACAGCCTCTCACACCTCTCGCTCTAAGCAGCATCTTTGCATTACATCAAGATGCAATCAGTGACAGTCATAGTGATGACCTGGAGCCAACAAGAAAAGACTAAATTATCATCAAAGATTAAATTATATCACCTCTTTACTTAAGAAGGAAGAAACTCCAGTAAAACTCTGTTAAAACAATTTTGACACGCCAAAGTGTAAGCTTCTATTTCAAGAAAAATTCCCTCATTTCCTAATGATGTCAGGCAAAGAAGTTACTGTATCCATGAATGCTGAATCTAAAGCAAGATTCTATTGCCACTTTTTCTTTCCCTTACTTGGCTGAGCCGTAGAGCTCCCAGGCTTTGGCAATCCCCATGGCCAGTCCCTTGCTGGGATTATTGGAGAGGATCTTGGCAGCTTCTTTGGTCTTACCCAGGACACTGAGAACATGTCTGTTGAAAGAGAGATGTCTTAGTAATGATGGGCCTTGAAGGCTCTTCAGCCTGTGACTCATAGACACTTAGTGGAAGATCACTTTGAGCATCAGCTGAGCACTCAGAAACGTCCTACCGCGATGCCCTTGGAGGATCCGCCTCAGGCTGGAATGTTCTGGGCTGCCTGAAGCCTGGCGGCTGGTGTACACACCAGAGGAGCCCGAGACCCTGTGTTTCCACTCCACACCAGCCTCCCAGTGAACTGAAGCCCCTTTCCCTGAGCCCCACCTGCTGTCTGGAATCCTGCTACAGACTGTGTGCAATCTCAGAAACCTAGAGCATTACTACTGGCTAGATGTGGATGCTGCTAGGGGCCAGCCTTCAGAAGGGAAGCCCCTGTTCCCTCTCTGCCTTGGCCTCTGACATCCTTTCAGGTCTCTTTCTTACCTCAGGGCCCTCACAAACACTCTTGCTTCTGCCTGGAACAGTGACTTACACAAAGAGGGGGCGGGATGAGATGAATCACAAAGTCCCTTCTCTCTCTGACATACCAAGACCTAATTACAAGTGGAAACTGTGTTATGAGGTGGAAACACATGACCCAAGGCCCAGGAAGGTACAGTCAGCATCGGAGATCCCTGCCCGCACCTGTGATTGTAGGCTCATCAGGCTGACACCTCACCCGTGTGCCCAGGACTGCCCAAGGGACTCACCGATGCACAGCTGGGGTCCGGGAAGCTAGGCCCCCAAAGCTGGCAGAGATGGTGTTGATTTCAATCTGCTTCAGGGCTGCGGAGCCATCCGGGGTGCACTGGAACATGTAGTCTGAGCGGTTCAAGCCCAGGAACACGGTCTAGGGGAGAAACTGAAGGCTTAGGACATTTGCCCAGGGGCTGGCCCCGAGGGCCTACCCACAGAGCTGACAGGTACCATGAACTGTATGCAGAGATTAGAGGGGCCAGCTAACACTCCCAAACACAGTGGAATCATTCTTCTGGTCTTCCCAGGATTGGCCACTAATGTATAAACCCCATGGGGACCAATGAGAGGCAGATTCCCACGAGCTCAGTGACTAGGCCCAATTTTTCTCGTAAAAAGAGAGAGAAATGGGAAGGGCAGGTCTCAGACCAGGGTGGAATGGAGAATGGTTACCTGGGCAATGCCTTCTTTTAGGACTTGCTTGTGGATGTCAAAGAGACGAGCAGTAAAGCTGTCCCTTTTGATGGTGCTGGAAGAGGAAACACAGTATTTTCTAGGCTACACGGGACATTAAAGGCCAAGGATTTCCACAGTTTCCTGAATCCTCTCTAGGTCTACTGGCCCAAACTTGAATACCCACACCAACCCCATAGAGAACAGTAGTTTAGAACCCAGCTCTAGAGCCAGATGACCTGGGTTCAAATCCCCACTCTCCCACTCACTACTAGGCAACCTCAGACAGTCACCTCACCTCTATGCTTCAGTTTGGTCATCTGAAAAAGGAAGAGATAAAAATTTACAACATAGAGGAGTTATTGTTTAGTCGCTGAGTCATATCCGACTTTTATGACCCCATGGACTGTAGCCCCCCAGGCTCCTCTGTCCATGGGATTCTCTAGGTAAGAATACTGGAGTGGGTTGCCATTTCCTTCTCTAGGAAATCTTCCACCCCAGGGATTGAACTCACATCTCCTGCATTGGCAGGTGGGTTCTTTACCACTGAGCTACCTGGGAAGTTCAACATAGAGTTGTAGTGAAGAGGAAATGAGATATTACATGTATAGAACTGAACACAGAGTCTGGCCCCAAGAATTCAAAACTAGCATATGCCATGACCATTCTGTAGTTGGTAAGCTTTCTAGGTGACCTAACATTAACTCTCTATAGCTTCCTCTACATTCTGATATCTCCCAGGACAAGTCCTATCCGCCTCTTGCTTGGCAGTCTCAGATTAGAAGACAGCAGTTATGCCTGGTGCCTCAAAAGATTTTTCTGACTCTAGCTAAATATCCTCATTTTTTTCTTCAATGAGTCCTCATGGGAAGCCTTCCGTATCTGGGTCAGATACCCTGGTATGCACTCCCGCAGCACTGTGGACCTTTCCTGCAGGGCACTGACTACAGTTATAATTTTCCGTTTTATTTGTGTGATGGTTAGTGTCATCTTTCCTGTTTGACATGTCTGTGTTGGCTCATGCTCATGGACAAGTGTGCTGCTGTGACACGGGACATGAGGTAGAACCCATCAGTATGGTTTTCTGGAGCCTTAGGAAGAGACACCCACAGGTAAGTAACTTGTTGCCTCTCGAGATTCAGGTAAGAGTCTCTGCGTATCTGCTCAAGCCTGACTCTCAGGCTCACCTTGTTACAGGGTCCCCACTGAGCCCATGGAGCTCAGGCCTGCCCTGAAGTTCCTCTGCTCCCCATCAGCTCTCTCAGGGGTCTCCCAGCCCCTCATAAGGAGGAGAGACACCAGCTGGGCTTCCGCCTCTAGTAAAATTGAGACACGTTTACCCCTTTTTGAAGAGTTGCTCCCCTTTGACCCTAGGGCTTAGGCTGCTATTGCAGCTGTGATCCTGGCCTTTTCTCCCTTATAAGCTGAGGTTTGTGTGTATTTCGGAGGAGAAGGTAATAACAAAGGCAGGGGTTGCAGAGTTGGGCTACAGGGAAAGTCTCACATGTAACTGCAGCTTCAGGGTAACGGTCATAAATCAGGCTACTCATATTTCCCCACAATCCAGAGTCACAGGTACAAAATCTGGGCCTATCCCAAGAAAGACCTGAGGAACATGTACTGGAGAAGTTTGTACACTCATGATTCAGTGGATTTTTAGCTCCAAGTCAATGGTTTCCAGGGGCTTCCCTGGTAAAGCTCAGCTAGTAAAGAATCTGCCTGCAATGCAGGAGACCCTGGTTCAATCCCTGGGTCGGGAAGATCCCCTGGAGAAGGGAAAGGCTACCTACTCCAGTATTCTGGCCTGGAGAATTCCATGGACTACTCCATGGGGTCACAAGGAGTTGGACATGACTGAGCAACTTACATTTCACTTCACTTTAATGGTTTCCAAACTTCTTACCATTATGAACTCTTCTCCTATTCACTGTCACACCAAATTGCACATTTTAAAAAGATTTTGTGTTTAACAAAATAAATTTTTTGGACAAATTAATCAGACATGCAATTATATTTCTGTGCGTGTATATATGTATATTCTCTCTCTACACACACACACACACACACACATTTAATTCTAATTTCACTCTAAAATAAAGAAATGTCCATTGCCCCAGGGCCTCAAGGGAAAAAAGAAGTTAAGGGAGAAGAGACAAAGAGGGGTGGATGGAATGAGCCGTTTCAGGGGTTCTGTATCCTCATGAACTGCATGTGGCCCAGTATGCACCCCATCTCACCCAGAATGAGAGGCCTGAGGTGACAAGAAAGAGCCACTACTTAAGATGAGTAAAAAATCTGACTTTAAACCCAATAACCCCTCCTGCCCTCTGTTTTCTCCAAAACTAGGCTGCATGCATGCGTGCTGTTACATCTGACTCTGCGACCCTATGGACCGCAGCCCACCAGGCTCCTCTGTCCATGGGACTCTCCAGGCAAGAATACTGGAGTGGGTTGCCATGCCCTCCTCCAGATCTTCCCAATCGAGGGATCAAACCCGAGTCTGTTATGTCTACCTGCATTGGCAGGCAGGATCTTTACCACTAGCACCACCTGGGGAGCCCTGACCTCCTCTAATTCCAGATGGAAATTTCAGTCTTCAGAGCAGGGGGCAGGTCACAGGTCAGAGAATTACAGAATGTCAATTGGAATGGATCTTAGATTTAGGCCAACCTCCCTTATAGTTCAGTTGGTAAAGAATCTGCCTGCGACACAGGAGACTCCAGTTCAATTCCTGGGTCGGGAAGATCTGCTGGCGAAGGGATAGGCTATCCACTCCAGTGTTCTGGCCCAGAGAATTCCATCGACTGTATAGTCCATGGGGTCACAAAGAGTCAGAAATGACTAAGCAACTTTCACTTTCACTTTCCCATTTTACAGATGAAGAAATTGAGGCCCAGAGAAAGAAAGGGGACTTGCTTGAGGCCATATAAGTAAGTGGTAGAGCCAGGGTTAGAAGCCAGCTCTTCTGACCTCTATTCTATTAATTTTTCTTTCTCTTGGAGAGTACCTGTCCCCCACCACAAAGTCACTTGCCCGGGTAATACCTCATGAGTCCCAGTCTTCCAGTCCCTTAGCTCTAGCATCTCCTGCCCACTCCACTGCCCCCGTACCTGGAAAGAGTCTGCTCCAGAAAGACAGCGTTCTGGCTGACTGCATCCACCAGCAGGTTGAAGTCCACCTGCACTGCATAGGCCTGTTTCAGCAGGGCACTTGGGACCCGGGAAGGGAAGAGTGTGAAAGGAGCATAGCTCACCACCTGATCAAGGAGAGAGAGTGGGCATGGGTAGAACACCTGTGAGTGTGTTGTCTTCCTGCAAACATAACCCCATGGAAAGTGTGCCCCATATTACTGAAAACACACAAACTGCAGAATACTGGTTACCTCTGGGAAGGGAGGGAGAACAGGATGAGGAGTGGGTATTAAGAGAACTTCTAGACTTTGTTTTTGGCCAGTTACTTCTGATATTTTAAAAATGTAAACAGATAAAAAATTACAAAGTCCAGACAAGTAAGCCAAAAAATTATGGAGCATTGACTGTATGCTCAGTACTGTTTTAAATACTTTACATGGATTCATCATCTAACCTTTTGAGAAAGATACTATTATTATCTATACCTACTAAACAGATAAGGGAGCTAAGTCCCAGAGAGGTTAAGTAACATGACCGAAATTATGCAAGGTTATTAAGTGAAACTGGGATTTGAACCATGATGGTTTCTAAACAACCACCGTACCCACCCACCCCCCAACACACACACATACACACACTTCTCCTAGCAGATTCACATCCAAGCCAGTCCCCTTGCCTTCTGGTTGAGGGAGAGAGAGAGTCCCACAGGCACAGCTATAGCAGAAGTGGACTCTGGCCCCCAGAGGAGAAGCCAGGGGTGGTCTCCCCCCAGTGTTGGAGATGGTGACCCAGGTTGCCAGGCCTGGAATTCATTCAGCTGCATTCTGAGTTCTCTGGACTTTGGCAGAGTCAGGAAACCCAAATACCACCTAGAATACTATTTTTAGGAGGGGATAATACATTCTGAGATTTCCAACAACAAATTAACTAGAACTTGGGAAAGAGAAGATGACTTTGTGACTTATATTACGACTTTGTGCTTATATTATACCATGAAGCATTACTGAGTCTATCCTCTGAGTTAATATCAGTTTGTCATTATGGTAGTATAAGTTAATGGTGTTTGAAGTTGGCACTTATATATTTATTTTTAAAATATTATTATTCTGAATAGATAATACAAACACATAAATTAAAAAAGACATAGTGAAAAGTATGTCTCACACTCACCCTGTTCCCAATGACCCAGTTCTCCTCCCCATGGTACACTCATGGTGTACTCATGCATTCATGATCATGCATGTGTGCTCAGGCATGTCCGATTCTTTGCCACCCCATGAAAAATGATATACCAGTGTCTCACATATCCTTCTAGACTAATGTGTGTGTATACATACATATTTTCTCTTTTTTTTAACATGCACAAAAGCATATAATACGTACATTGTTGTGTCCTTTGCTTTATAAATATTTCAGAGACATTTCCAAATACATTCCAATAGAACACTTTCATTATTTTCAGTGGTTGTATAGTATTCAATTCTTTGTATATACCATAATTTATTGAATCTAGCCTTCTAGTATGAACATCAACGTGGTTTCCTTCTCTTCCCCTCCATTACAAATAGATGCTTCAATAAACATCCCAGAATATACATTCTAGAAACACTAATGAAGGAAACAGAAGATGATTCAAAGAAATGGAAAGATATCCCATCCTCTTAGATTGGAAGAATTAATATTATTAAAATGGCCATACTATCCAAACCAACCTATAGATTTAATGTAATTCCTATCAAAACAACCATGATATTTTTCACAGAACTAGAACTAATAATCCTAAAATTTATATGGAACCATAAAAGACCCTGAATTGCAAAGCAACCTTGAAAATAAAAGAACAAAATTAGAGGTATAATTCTTTCAGACTTTATACTACAAATCTAGAGTAATTAAAACAGTGTGGTATTGGCACACAAACAGACATATAGCTAAATGGAACAGAAATAGAGAGCCCAGAAATAAACCCATGCACCTATGATCAGTTAATCTACAACAAAGGAAGTAGGAATACACAGTGGGTAAAGATGGTGTCTACAATAAATGGTACTGGGAAAACTGGATAGCCAAATGTAAAACAATGAGATTAGAGCATTCCCTCATACCATATTCAAAAATAAACTCAAAATGGTTTAAAGACCTAAAGATAAGCCCTGAAACCATAAAACTCCTAGAAGAGGACTTCCCAGGTAGTGCAGTGGGTAAGAATCTGCCTGCCAACACAGAGGACATGGGTTTGATCCCTGGTGCAGGAAGATTCCACATACTGCTGAGCAACTAAGACCATGTGCCACAACGACTGAAATCTGCATGCTCTAGGGCCTGCAACAAAGAGTCGCCCACACTCTCTGAAACTACAGAAAACCCTTGTGTACCAATGAAGACCCAGCACAGCCATAAATAAATAAAATTATTTTTAAAAAAGACAAAAAAACTCCTAGAAGGGAACATAGGTGGAAAACTTTTGACATAAGACAAAATGAAAAGACAACCTACCTAAAGGGAGAAAATATTTGTAAATGATATGACTGACAAGGGGTTAATATCTAAAATTTACAAACAGCTCATACAGCTAACTATCAAAAACCAAACAACCAATCAAAAAATGGGCAGAAGACCTGAATAGACATTTCTCCAAAGAAGACATACAGATGGCTAACAAGTACATGAAAAGATGCTCAAGATTGCTAATGAGAGAAATGCAAATCACAACTACAATGAGATATCACTTCACACCTGCCAAAATAGCTATCATCAAAAAGACTGAAAATAACAAATTTCAGAGAGGATGTGGAGAAAAGGGAACACTCAAACACTGTTGGTGGGAATGTAAATTGTTTCAGCCAAGTATAAAAAGCTAAAAACAGAACTACTGTATGATCTAGCAATTCTACTTCTGACTATATATCTGATGGGAATGAAAACACTAATTCAAAGAGAATTATAATCCTAAAGCCAGAGGCAGAACTTTTACAGTATCAGTCTGCCTTAGGTGACAGTCATTCTCATTCACTTGGGCCTCAAACCAGTTATTAAGTTTGGACTCTCCACCAGGCCCTTAACTAGGTTCTGGGCACACAGAGACAAAAGAGATGTGGCTTGGTAAAAAAAATAAAAGATGGTGGCAGCTTTTTAGACACTAATGGGGATAATCATAACGTATGTGTTAAGTCACAGAAGAGCTTAACACACTTCTTTGTGTAAAAAAAAATGGGAGAAAGGAATATATACATATTTTCTTGTTAAGAGTAAGGTAACAAAGAATGAACAAGAATGCTGAAACACAGGTTGCCTTTAAAACAGGAGAACTGGGTGGTTAGGGAATGTGGAAGGGAAGACTGACTGTAAACTCTTGCACCTTCTGAGTTTCAAACCATGAAAATGTCTTACCTGGTCACAAAAAAAATTCTTTTTAAAGGGATGAGATTTTTTTGTTTGTTTGTTTTAAGATGTGGTTTAGAATAAGCAGTTCCACTTTTATGTATCAACCCTAGAGAAACATTCATACAGGTGCCCAAACAGGCATGCATGTGATTGTTTCCGGTAGGGCTATATGTAATCATAAAACATGAGAAATCACCAAAATAGCATCCATAAAGTTAAACTGTGATCCATTCACAGTTGGAATACTATGCATCAGAATGGAGTTGGAAAGAGTTCTAAGGCAGATTGTTAAATGAAAAACAAACACATATATCATAGAATAATGTACTTGATCCAGCTAGTTTCTTATAAACTATATATAATCGACCTGTGAACAACAGTGGGTTTGAATTGCACAAGTCCACTGACACATAATTTTTTTCCACAGTAAATACTACAATACTACATGATCTAAGGTTGGTTGAATCTGTAGATGCTGAACCTCTGAAACAGAGGAACCACGTATATGGAATGGCGACTGTAAGTTACACACAGATAGATCTAATCCTTGTGCTGTTCAATGGTCAACTATACTTCTTTATATATGTGCATGCTAAGTCACCCAAGTTGTGTCCAACTCTTTGCAACACTATTGACTGTCCACGGGATTCTCCAGGCAAGAATACTAGAGGGGATTGCCATGCCCTCCTCCAGGGGATCTTCCCAACCCAGGGATCGAACCTGCATCTTCTGTGTCTCCTACATTGGCAGGCGGGTTCTTTACCACTAGTGCCACCTGGGAAGCCCTTCTTTATATACTTATATATATATATACATGCACAGAGAAAAACCTGGAAGGATATACCACAAACCAGTTACAGGGAAGGTAGTATGATTAGGGGATCTTAAAAAATAAGTTTACTGGACAAGGTGCTTCATGTGAATTATCTTCTAATTGTCTTACCAACTCCATAAGGTAGGCCCCATTATTATCTCTTTTTTATATTTGAAGAAACTGTAGCTGAGAGAGGCTAAGTAACTTGCATAAGTCACAGTTCAAGCTCTTTAGACTTAAAGTTGATTACTCAACTTAAAGCATGATGCTTTTCAATATTACAGAGATAAATTTAAGAGATAAATTTACAGACAAATTTTATATAGATAGAGATAAATTTAAGAGATAAAGTTAAGATAAATTAAGATAAGATAAATTTATCTCTTATAGAGATAAATTTAAGCTACTGGAAAAAAAATAAAGCCAAAGACATGTGGGCTTTAAGTCCAAAGGAACTGCCTCCAGCCTAGCAGAAGCCTTGTAGGATCTAAGCTGTGTGGTCAGTGCTGAGAAGAGGGGTCAGAGGCTTACATCGGAGGAGCTGGGCGCCTGTGAGGTCCTCAGCAACACACCCTCAGCCAGGGCCCGGTCCACAGCCTGCCTTGCTAGCTCCTCCAGCTGCTGTTCATCCTGCAAGAGGCTCCCCCAGCCGGTGGCCATCCCAACCTGCAACAGAAGGAGAGAGGAGGGCTTAGTGACAGATGGCCTGGGGCCCAGCAACTGGAGTGTGGTACAGGGAATAGAACACTGGCTGGCAGCTCTTAACAACTTCCATGAGCGCAGAATGGAAAGTCTGATGAAGCATTTCCACTGACAGTCTCTCTTTTGAGTCCTAATACAATGATGGCATTATTCTCCCAGTAAGGGAGTGGAGGCTCAGAGAGATGAAGTGATTTGCCCAAGATAATGACTAGCAAAACCTGGACTTGAACCCAGATCTCTGAACTCCCAGCCCAATGCTTTTCATTGGAGAGAGAGGCGCTAATGTCATCTATGACTGGGACAAGTTCTTTCTTTTCCCAGAACTGTAGGTTCTCTACCTGTGAAATAAGGGGTCTGAACTAGACCGTGGTTTCCAAACCAGCTGAATACTCTGCAGAGTTTGGAAAATACAGATCCTAGGCCCTGCTAGAGATTCTGATTCAAGAGATCTGAGCAGAGGGAAGGGCTGAAGCTCTCTTTTTAAAATAAATATTCCTGGAATGGGAACCACTGCAACATATTGTTAATTCCCTTTCTAGCTCCAACAACCCAAGTAGGCAGGTTTCAAATAAATTATGCAAAAGTGGGGGAAAGGAGCCCGCTGAAGAATACTATTAAATGCAAATAAAGTGAACCCCTCCCTCATACTAACCAGAGGCAAAACCACTAGCAGGAAATGATGACATTCCTTGTATGGACACCTATCCTTGCAGAACCAAACACAGAAAACATTTCTGAGAAGTCATATTAGCAGGATAGGAATAACTGAAACCCAAGTTCCCAGTGTAATAGGAGTCCCGCTGGCTGCCAGAGACACACCAGGTGAACCAACTCACACTTTGACTCTCACTGACTTTGCAGCAGGCCCCAGGGGTTTAAGAAGATCTGGAAGAAAAACTGTGGACAGAACATGGCTGCTCAGCTCAGTGGTCACAGGAAGAGAGCTGGAGAATGACCTCCATCATATTCGGCTCCATCCCCCACTCCCCATTACAGAACTGCTGCTAAACCAATCATGAAAGTCTGTGGGCCTCAGCACAATGTATTGAAAGAATGAGCATGTGATTTCAAAAGGGTCTTCTCAGGTGAGACACAGATAAGGGCAGTCATAGTAGAGAACAAAACTCTGGGGTCAGTCAGATGGGTTTGAAGCCATAATAATTACTTCTTTTATAAATAAGGACACTGTGTCGATTAAATGAAAAAAAAATTTGTGTGCAGTGCCTTAACAGTGTTTAGAGTTTTATATGTGGGAGCTTCTTTTCTGGCTATACCCATTTTACAGTGAGAATACTTGTCAGAGGTAACGCAGCAGCCTGGTGGCAAAGCCAAGACTAGCACCTGTGACTCTGACTTTAGAGCAATGGAACCCTGATGCTGCTGCTGCTACTAAGTCACTTCAGTCGTGTCTGACTCTGTGCGACCCCATAGACGGCAGCCCACCAGGCTCCCCAGTCCCTGGGATTCTCCAGGCAAGAACACTGGAGTGGGTTGCCATTTCCTTCTCCAACGTATGAAAGTGAAAAGTGAAAGTGAAGTCGCTCAGTCGGGTCCGACTCTTTGTGACCCCAGGGACTGCAGTCTACCAGGCTCCTCTGTCCATGGGATTTTCCAGGCAAGAGTACTGGAGTTGGGTGCCATTGCCTTCTGCGATGGAACCCTGCAGTGGCCCCCATCTCTTCACAGCTCTGGGATTCCAACATCTCTGCCTGCTGTTGGCCTTTTGTTTAGCTGGTAAACACTGACTGGCATTTAATGCCAGGACCCAGACTGAGGATGTAAAGAAAGATAAGACAAAAATAATTACTCTGCAAAGTACTGATTGGGCCCTTTCTCATTCTACAGTCTCAACCCTTCTTGTGACTTTGTTTTGCTGATGACATCAAATCTGTAACTTTACTATTGTGCTTTTCCTGACCTTCAAAGGAGAATATCCAACTGCTTACTGACAGTCTCCATAGAACCAGAATAGAATGTATTGTCTGCCCATAAATCTGCTCCTGCTCTTGATGAACCCCACCCAGGCACCCAAAGTGAAAGTCGCTCAGTCACATTTGACTCTTTGGGATCCCATGGACTATACAGTCCATGGAATTCTCAGGCCAGAGTAATGGAGTGGGGAGCCTTTCCCCAGGCACCCAAACCTTGTATATTCTTGTTGCCTACACCCTTTCTGCCCAAATCCTGTGGATTCGAAGTATATTGTACTCTGAACTCCTTGATTTCTCTCCACCTCCACTGTTAGCAGCCTAATTCCGACTACTGCCATCTCCCCTCTAAGCAACGAACAGGTTCGGAGAGATGTATCTTCAGGACACACCAGTTTCTTTCCCGCTTCCAGGCCTTAGCATTTGTCTCTTTGGGACAATCCCCACCCCTTCCGACCAGCGTTCACGACTTAAGTTTCAGAAGCTGTCCCTATTCCCCGCCCCGGGCTTCCTTCTGCAGCTCATTGATTTTCCCTGTACGGTAAGGAATAGAGGTCTTGATCACTTCTCTAGCTCCAGCGCCTACTAGTGAATTCGATGAATGTTAAATGAATGAATGATGAATGAATGACAATCTGGAGCCGGATCACCAAAAGCCTTAACACGCCCACAAGAAAACCCGGTCGGACTTTAAGCCAAGGGCCAGGTCAATTCTTGCGGGAGGCCGAGGCCAACAACACGGTCTCCTGCCCAGGCTTGCCCCATCTCATGGGCCCGCTTGCTCTCAGTCAGGGCAAAGTTTGGTTCTAATCCTTTTGTTGTGTTTGCTAAGTCTGCTAAGTCACTTCAGTGGTGTCCGACACTGTGCGACCCCATAGACGGCAGCCCACCAGGCTCCCCCGTCCCTGGGATTCTCCAGGCAAGAACACTGGAGTGGGTTGCCATTTTCTTCTCCATTGTTGTGTTTAAAGAAACGAAAAACAAAGAACCCAACAACTCTGGCTCTAGCCTCACCGGCATCGAGCCCCCGACACCAGCCCGATCTGGAGTCAGATCTGGGGAATCTGGAATCAAGAAGCACCAGCCCCACCCGCTCACTAGACACCCGTTTCCAGGTCCCTGCCATGAGTGTGAGCGGCAACATCTCCCGGCCACCGGGGTTCCGATCGCTGACCAGACCCCTCCTTCGTGTCCTTCCTCCCGAAGAAACGTGACCCTTGCGGGCCGCCGTTGCTGTGCCCCAACCTACTTTTCCGTCGTCCAGCCGCGCTCCTTACTCTAGCCTCCGACGCCTTAACGAGCTTCCGGGGGCGGGGCCTCGAGGAGGCCCAACGCGCTTGCGCGGACCTCCCCGGCGGGGCTTAAAGAGCAGGGCGGGGAAGGAGGCCGGTACTCGCGGAGTTGGACGGTGGCTGGGATGGGGCAGTCCGTGGCTGGACCCTGGCGGACGGGACTTTGGCAAGGAGGGGAGGGTAGAGCACGTAGGGCGTCAGAGCTGGCAATTTCTGGTGCAAGATGGGGGAACCCGGTAGCCAAAATGGGACAGTCACTCCTTGGGGACACACAGTTGGTGGTAGGTGTGGTCATAGAGGCCAGAGAGAGACAGAGACCCGCGCAGGGTCCCACAGCGCGTTGAAGGCTGAGCCAGTGTTGGAACCCAGGCTTCTGTTTTTTACTTAACTGGGTTCCAGAAAACAACACCCGATTTCTCCAGCCATGGGGCAGCTTCAGGAAAAGCCTTAATGGCAGAAGCAAAGTAGTTTCTCGTTTTTCCTGCAGTTTTTTTTTTTCCCTGCAGTTTTAAAGTTAGGAACTTTGAGGGTGATCCAGTGCTTCACAAAATGTCCAATATCACTTACACCAGAATCTTCTGCGTTTTTTTTTTTTAAATGCAGATTTTTGATCCCTGTCCTTCCTCACCCCTTGGCAGCGCCCCAGTTCTTTTAACTGTTCCTTCTTTCTGGGTTGTGATAGGTTCTTCTCAATGTGAAGCACCTGATATGAATTTTAATTAAACTGAATTTAATCCATCTAGGCTCTGGGGAATTAACCATGAGAAAGACAGAGCCCCTCTTTTTACATCTAATTATTAAAGGTAGATATGTAAACTTTTTTCTGGGGAAGGAGGGAAGCCTTCCAGGGTCTTGAAGGATGGGTAAGAATATGAAAGCAGTGAAGGAAGTAGGGGTGGAGGTGAGAGGCAGGAATGGGGACAGTGTACCAAGTAGCTGGAGCAGAAACAACAAAGGCGAATAATGAATGTGGCTAGTTTTGTTTTGGAGAAAAGGAGGAGTCTGGTGTAGACACGGGGGGGTGGGGTTGGAGCAGCCTCTTAGGAGCTCATTCTTGGAGAGGAAGCCTTGGATGCTAGGTTAAGAAGTTTAGCATTTGTGCAATGAGTTATCTAAAGATACTAAGCAAGAGAGAGATGTGTATAAGATACTGATAACACCATGGCTGATGGTTTGTAAGTGCAGAGATCAAGGCCAGAGAGAGAGCTCAGAGGGAGTTAAAGTATGAGATAGTGAGGCAGGCCTGAGAAGATGGAGAGCCGGGGACAGACGAAAGAGATATTTAGGAGAGAGAACTATGATGATAAATCAGTGGCCCAATCCAGGGGACAGGATGGTTCCAACTCCTTAAATAAAGGATGTACATGCTCTATCTACAGGACACACAGCTTTCCAGTTTTGTTGGTGGGAAGGAAGGGAGAGGTGGTCTGCTTGTTGTCACAACAGTGATTTCACTGTTTTGCCTGCTTTGGTACTTAAGGGAGAGACTGAAGCAGCAGTTACTATAATAAAACCCAGGTGCCAGGAAAACTCCTATGTTAACAAGGAACAAAGGAATCTATTTCTAGTGCAGCGTGAAATTAAAAATAAAAATTGTGACCCAGCGTTCTCAGTAGAGGTTCTCCTCTTTCAAGTTGGGTGCCAAATGATATGTATCAGGTGCCTATTGGTGAGATTTGGGGACCATCCCAGACCTTAACATCTCTTTGGTTGAGTTTTCTTACATTGTGGCAGATAA